AATGCTAATTAATTTAACTTAGCAAACGACTGTACTTATAGCCTGTTTGAACCATTTACTGGTCCGTGTAATGCTGAGAAACAAAACACTGTGTTGCTCGGAGACGCATTGATGGGACAAAACAGAATTTTGTGTCTGTGTTTATTGTACATTTGCCATCGTGCAGATATTCGGAAAAACAGGACTCTAGTTTGTGTGATAGGCTAACTCCTATATCGTAGGCATTCACTCATTAAATGCAGGGTTCGTTCAACCAATAAATTTAAATGACTTTTAAGGCAATATTCGTGACCTAATGCTCCATTATTTTACGCAAATGTTCAGATTTATCATAGCATATGCTAAGGAAAATTAATGATTATTAATGCTATTTGTTTGCTTTCTAATAAGCACAGGCTGCGACTGTGCCAGACGTTACTTCATGCAGAGAACATAAGTTAGGCTACATAATCACATAACTGAATGCCAGAATGTTAAGTATATTGTAATTTGCTTAGCCAGTATTATAAATTAAACTCAGGACCTGAATTTCGTTTTAGAAACAGCTTTGGTGGAAAAAATACAGGTACAGAAATGCTGCAGAAATGGAATAAACTGTAAATTAAAAACAGTAAATTCACTGTAAATTAAACAACAGATTAATTCTTAAAATTAAAGTTACAAAAGTTATTCAGTCAAGAGCAGTGAGTGATTTTGCCTTTTGTTGTTAACATTAATTAACAATAACCAATAGGCCTAAATAATTAACATTGTTAACATTAACATTTGGTATGAAAGTGATTTTGAGAGTGAGAGCGAGAAGACGCGGTACAGCTGAACCACACACGCTGTTTTCAAATGATTGACTTAATCTGATATTCTGTGTGAATTTTTTTAACTCATCTAACCTACATTGTATATTAAATAAATGTTTGCTGGAATTTTACAAACGTGTGAAACCTGCGAACATGAGTTAAACAAATATTCTATTATATAGAGATTTGTAAAATAAATTTCCACGACTTTTCCAAAGCTTTCTGGGTTTTTCATGACCATACGAACCCTGTAAATGGCTATTTTTATGATGTCTTGATGAAATTTCTGCTCCACTTTGTGTGGAGGTAGTGAGATGGGACAAAGTCCCTGTAAGATATTAGGGTATTCTATAGTCTTCGGACGGGAGATTTAGTGGAACATTAATATAATATAGAATCATCCTCTGTAAAGAAGTGAGGCGTGAACATGAGAGAATTTATCATTATCTTTGTAAATGTGCGCTCTTTTGGGCTAAAGGCTTAATGGAACCGTTTAAAGTAGCCATGTGATCACAAATTAATCGGCGATTCGGCGCAGCGCAGACATGATTTAATACGCGTGTCCTTTTTCTATGTGAAAAAAAATCATAAATTCCAGTTTATGCTGTTTGATTATGGCTTCGAATGTCATAGTTGGAAGCTGGAAGTTGTTAGCCCCGGCTGGCCCGTGCACGCTGTTGAAATGCGACTAATAATTTCTGACTGGCACATAACTGAACAAATGTAAATGGGTTAAGGCGGGGCCCCTGGTAAGCCCAATGGTAAGTCCGGCCATGTCTGTAGGATCATTAAAATTAAAATTAAATTTGAAAAAATAAAAATAAAAGACAATGCAAGATATTAATAAATACTATAAACAAGACTAAAACACTGATTTAAAATGTATAAATTATTTGTTTACAATTATTACAATTGTATGATTGTATAAATATTTAATTGTATAATTATTTGCATACATTTTTAACTATTGAAATACTTTCAATAAATAGAAAATAAAAAACCAATCAACAGCAAATTTGTTTTTGTTGCAATATCTAAAATGGTATCAAGAATCGTGAAATTTCACTGATTTCGGTACCTGAATACTGAAATGCTGTTATGATGACAACCCTAACTGGCGTGTGTGTGTGAGTGTGTGTGTGTGTGTGTAGGTCCAGCTCAGTCTGATGGTGTCTGCTACAAGCGATGTGTTCACAGAAGGCACAAACCCTCTCAACACATCTACATTATAATAATAATAATACAGAGTTATCATCTTCTAAGTAAGGGCAGCAGGTTATCATAGGGATGGGGGTCAAGGTACCTGCATGGAGAAAATGAATGTATGCCACAAGATGCCAAACACTGCTATAAAGACAACTGAAACAGGCCTGTTGACGGAACCTGAACTGAATTAGGAACTTGTGAATTGTAATCGAATCTGGAAATGATTCACCAATACCCAGCCACAATACACTACCACTCTGATCAAATAAATGTATCCTTTCTGAATAAAAGTATGTACGATAAAGTATGATAGTGTACACAGCAAGCATACGTGATTTTGTTAAAATCATTTATTCTCCATTAAACAAAATTCTGAGCGCTTAGAAAAGTAACAGTACACCTCTCCTACAAGACCCACAATTCAAAGTCTCATTCATACTTTCATGCATGATTCACACAAGGCTATTTCTAAATTATGACTTAAACAACACACTGTGCACTGCACCAAAGTCATGGCGACTGAATGATTCAGACATTTAGCATCACTGTGAGCATGACACTACAGAGATAGACATGGAGTGGAAAGAAACCGATCACTCTACAACGGTCTCAGCTCTGTTGCTATGCGAGCACTGTGCCCTCCCCTCATCTGTCTCTCCAGGCTACAGGAAGTCAGGAAGAACACAAGCAGGGAAGGATGGAAAGCAATTATAGATGATCTCTGTCTAACTCAACTGCACATCTGCGTGCAAGTTCACATCGGCATGGTAGGTCAGAGCAGAACCGTCCCCTCTCAAACATCATGTTGCTCTCCTACATGTGTTTGCGTGCATGTCATTACTTTTACGCACACTGACCAAGAGGAAGGAACACAGTACGACATGCATGTGAAGGGTCTGAAACGAGCATAGACCACTGAAATCCAGCCAAAAAAAAAAAGGGAGGAAAATCACAGAGCACACCAACATAAGCAAAACCTCAAGACAGCCTGCAGCATGCCATCAATTACAGCTCATATGACTGAAAAAAAAAAAAAGTTACCTGACTATCAAGAAAAGACAGAAAAGAAAACAAGAGATGAAAATGGATAGCTGTACCTCTTAGATCGGCGGAGCATGCTTCTCTCCGGCAGGGAGAAATTGGAGAGAACGGTCCAGAAGGTATCAGACATGATATCGGTGCACTAACATGGCTGTCATCCAGAGATCAATTGCGATAAAGCGCCGGAGAAGGAAGAACAGCTGGCTAAATGAGTGTGTTTCCTCTCTGATAGCAAGCACTAGATGACGTTCATATAGCTGCTGCTGGTGCCGGCAACCTGTGACACTACTAGAGCTATCGTGAGATGCTGGCATGTGCTTTTTCTCTCTCTCTTTCTCTCTCCTCTACACCCTCCCTCCTCTCTTTCTCTCTCTCTCTAACTCAAACACACAGAAGTGCATGTGCATGTAAGATACAGACAGTAATACAACCTCTAAAATAAGGATAATACTGTTAGTAAAACAAAAAATTTAGGGAGAAATAGTGATACATTGTAATGCTAAATGATCTGCCAACCAGAAATGGCTGGATTTGTCAGTATTCAATATAGCATCTCTGGAGAAAGTGACAGAATGACAGGAGATTAAAGTGCACACACACACACACACAGGATTATATGGACAAATGGTGCAAGCATAAGAGAGATGTTTCTGTGTAGTCCAAACTGTTTCATCATTAGTCAATCATGTCAAAGGACTCAACTGAAGAAGAAGGGGAAAAAAAGTGATATGTGTGTCTGTGTGCATATGTGCGAGCAGTTTTGCAGCAGGGTAGATGCAGGCAGGCATGGCAGCACTGTGTCACCTTGAGCTAACCGACACCATGGGCTCAGTCGTTTCAGACACATCAAAGAACAAACAGCTACAGAGAAAACACCTCCACCCAATACCACGCACATCCATACACACCAAACAAACATAACAGCAGGCAATAGTGCTGACATTGTATATTTGACGGTGATTTCTCTGTGGAAGCAAGGGTTTAATTGGCTTCTGCAAAAAAAGAAAATAGCAAAATAAAAATAAATAAATAAGTAAATAAACGAATGAATAAAACTACATTTTACAAAACAGAAGTATGAAACACTCATTTTGCTAAAACAACAGTCCAACAATGACACCAACTGATTAAGGTTCAGAGGAAGGCAGCACCTCTTTGGCCTCCCTTCAGCTCATTGTATTGTCATTAGCCAAAAATGCAGGTAACGAGAAGTGGTAATAGCTAAATATAGATGGAGTCAAGTAAGAAGCATGCCTACAATGTTTCCACAGCAGTCTAATGAATGAATTTATGAATGAATGAGTGAATGAAATATAAAATGTTTATGCACTTCAATTTGGATGAAAGCCCTTATGTTATTGGTGCACAATATTGACCTAAACAGAGCAATGGCAATAACTCTTTAAATAAATAAATAAATACATACATTTTAGAATGTCTAGTTTTATTATATAACAAATCTATGCCTATAACAGAAATGAATAATTCAATAAAACAAATAATGGCTAATACCAGTATGAAATATCTACCAATATGTAGTTAATTCGTAAATGTAACATTTGCATTTTCAGTACTGGTTCAAAACCAGTAAACAAAAGCAGATTAATGCTCAATGAGCATTAGGTTTATTGTTATTTGTGTGCTTTAAAAAAAACAAAAAAAAAAACACTTAAAGTCAGCATGATGGAAATGACTGTCTGAATGCACCTTAATAATGTTTAATTTTTATTTAATTATTTATTTTTAACGAAAATGTCAACTTGATCTTCCCGTAAAAGGACAGGCTTCTTTCTGTTGACATAAATTTCACCCGTCATTTACAGTAGTCTGCTTAAAAACCCCTCCCTTTCTTGGTAGGGGTGGGAATCTAGGTACCTCACGATTCGATTCGATTACGATTCAGAGGGTTGCGATTCGATGATAAAATGATTATCGATGCATCTTTTGTTTTAATACAGATTTTCTTTTTTCTCACTGTCTGACTATTAAACCAAAGTATCTGGAATGACCCATAATGAATTTACTTCCAAGATATTTTATTAATAAAACTAATGGAAGTGATTTGGCAAGTCAACAACAAGGTTACAAAGAACCAACAGGAAATGAAACATGTGCCTGCAGCAGCATACTTGTACCAAATTAATAAAGACTTAAGCATATTCTGAACCACTGACAAAATAATAGATATATGACATGATATCTTGTTACACCCTTGATAATATTATTATTATTGTTCAAATAGCTTTATTGATCATTGTTATTAATTAAGAGACTACATGGAATATTGGTCAAATATTTCTACTTTAAAAAATATTTTTTAGACAACAGAACCATTTAAAATGCTTCCATAAGCTTCCAAAAATCACAACAAAAACTAATTTTTTCCCCTCAGATATGGTCATTGAAATAAAATTACTAGACCTTCAGAAACTCTTAATTATCAACCTTAGAATCTCAAATTAAGTACAAACTATATCTTTATTTTTGTTTTATTTTACTTTTTTGTCTTAAATGTATTTTCTATAAATCAACATTGAATTAACCAAAATAAAAGTGAATAAGTAAAATACCTGGCTACTGTTCATCCAGAAATACTTTTTCTGTAATTATTTATTTACTCATCCGATTTCTACTCATCCATTGTGAGTTCTTCACAGCACTTTGTACCAAGGGCTTTCTGACAAAGGGAGAGTCAAAATGACCATGTCCTACAGTTCAGTTCAGGTGAGGTTAACGGTCAACAAAGAGACCAGTGAGTAATTTGCGCTCACGTGACTGACTGAACAGGTGTTGCTTTCAACCTTCCTCCCATTTGGACCTGATCTGTTTTGTGGAAGTGTGCAGAAACAGAGCAACCAATCTCTCTCGTGGGCTTGGTTTTGTTACTTTTGTACACCGTCACAATGTTGAAAATGCTCTAGATACTTCGATTTTTTTTTCTGAGCTCTTTGGCAAATCCATGCGTATCATGTGGGCTCAACACAATTCCTTTTTGAAAAAAAAGTGGAATTGGTAACATAATTGTTAAGTGCTTCACAAGGGACATAAACGACCTTGCTCTATATGACACTCTCTTGTGCTTTTGGGAAGTTCTTTCGAGCTGAGTGGTGTGCGACAGTAATGGTGAACCAAAAGGCTATGATTTTGTCCATTATGCCACACTAGAGGCTGCTGAATTGGCAATTAAGAAGCTAGATGGTATGACTATCTACTTTCTATATGCCATTACATGCCCAACGAGGAACAGAGGAGAACTGACCCCCTGGCTTTTTTTTTCTCCATTTCTGTCACTGATGGAGTTTGAGTTTCTTGCCACTGTCGCCTTTTGGCTTGTTTAGTTGGGGACACTTTATATTTGGCAATATTATTTGACTGCACGGACACTATTGTATGAGAGCTGAACTGAGCTGATGATGTCACTGTTTCTCCAGAGCTGCTTTATAGAGGAATTAAACTCATTCAATAATTGATGGACTTTACACAGTTACTAAACCAAACTGAATCAACAATAAATTGATTCAATACTCCAACCCCCATAAAAATAAATAAAATCACAAAACCAACCACAGTGGCAAGTTCAATGTAGCATGTAACCCTGTAAACACACAAATTAAAGTTCTTATTCATATGTATTCAATAAGCTTTTAACCTATTATCTTGCATTTTATAGAAAGAAACTTTCTGTGAAACTTACTGCCAAATTCTTCAACAGAAAGAATCATATAAGAGATGATTATAAAAAGATGTGGTGTTTAGAGCAGTTCTTTAACTCTTTACACCATATCTACTATATGCTTGATCAGTGGATGACCATCCAGATATAATCCAGATATAGTGATCTGAACATAGCCATTGAACCTCATAAATCAATTGGGGTTAATTTCATTTGCTAATCTTGGGTACAGTTGGTCAGAACAAGAGTATCACAAGAGAGAAACAGTAAGTCTAGATATAACAAAAAGGAGCTTTCATTCACATTTAGAGAAAAAAAAATGGGGAAAAAAGAAAATTGAGTGTGTGTGTGTTGAAAGAGGAAAGACCAGCGATGGAAAAAGCAAATAAGAAGCAGCCTTTGGAACAGTTCCCTGGATGTCCTGTTGAGTTGAGCTCTGAAAGGTTTTAAGACTTGATTTCCAGCAGCTTCTCTGTAGGTCTAAACCTCTGGGGAACTGCAAAACACAGCCTTTCCACTCATACGATAACATCTTTTAGAAATGGGAAATTATGTCTGGTGCATCAAGTCAATACACGGGGGAAATGAGGCTTCAAGGGAAAGGAAAATCATTTTGAACACATTTTCTATTATTGTGATCACGATCAATAGAGAATGGACAGTGCAAAGGAAGGCAAGAAAATAGTTGTGCAGGAAAAAAACAAACCTGTAATGATTTCCTCTAGCTTTACTGAATGTGAATGGAAGGTCAGAGTTTCCACACTGATCCTAACGATCACTGTGCTCTCTAAATATCCTCAAATGTGACCTTGCAATGCAAAAAACATACACACATTGTGTTCCTACATTGTGAACGAAGATATTCTTAACCCACAAATTAAAAACGACCGAGAGCAGACTGTGCTCAGTAATTTGTGTCATCAAACAAGAGATCAGTGAGGGATCAAGGTGAACACACACACGCACGCACGCACGCACGCACGCACACACAGTCAATTGGGACAGAACATGGTGTTCTGACATTCCAGAGCAGCTCATTAGTGCAGAATCCCTCTCATTCTGCTCCACAAGCATCACACACACACACACACACACACAGGTACACACACTCGTGTTAATGAGCAGGGCTTTCGCAAACCATATCAAAACTTATTGGCAAGTATATTTGCTCAAAATTATCTGCTCAATAAGGCTAGGCAATGATGCTAAAAATACATTAACATTCAAATGTTTGGGGTCAATAAAGGAATTCATACTTTTATTGAGCAAGGATTGTAAGTAGCTTTCTATTTCAATTATATTTCACAATATTACTAATTTTACTGCATTTTTGATAAACAGATGCAGCCTTGGTGAGCATAAGACTTAAAAAAATCCTACCCATGCTTTAGTGCTAAGTCAAATAAAAAACAAGCCTAAGCAACAGGCCGCTGACGCGGCAGCTTCATCAATGCAATAAATGCTTATGATTAATTAGTTAAATCATACTTTATTCCCATAAAAGCAACATCATGAGATGATTCTTGTAATATTAGGACTTTATGTAATGTTGCAACTTTATTATTTTGGTAGCCTAATAGATTCAAAACTTTCACAAAAAATT